AAAACTGTGCTCATTCATCCAAATTATCCTCTGTTATAGATGTTGCAGATACTCAAAACAACACCTCCAAACATGCTCACTACCCTGTCACTACTGGGTGAAATGCACGCTCAGCTTCTCGTTAGAACCATGTAATCGTAGGTCACAAATGCATGGTGTTCATCCAACTCGTTGTATTTGCTTCCACCTCTTAGCAGCTACTTCACTCCTCCTGTCCCTGTCTTGCTGTATCCACCCAGATAAGTATGGGCTCAAAGGGAGAAAGGGTAATTCATAGTGCAACCCCGTATAAACATTAAATAATTTATTAAAGTCAAGATTTCACACTCACAGAGTAAAAGACAAAAAGAAGGCTGATTCCCTTTACAAAAATGTCTCCTGCGGCCGCACTTCCAGTTTCCACGGTAGAGGAAGTGACGTCACTTGGCTCCTCCTGACATGTTGCATCACTAACCATGTGACTTGCTTGGGTCCTCCCTGAGGAAGTCGCATGACCAGTGATGCAACACGTCGAGGGGAGCCAAGTGATGTCATCTCTGGTACCGCGGAAACCGGAAGTGCGGCTGCAAGAGCCATTTTTTGTAAAGGGAATCAGCCTTTTTTTTGTCTTTTGTGAGTGGGAAATCTTGACTTTAATAAATTATTTAATGTTTATACAGGGTTGCACTATCCTTTCTCCCTTTGTGCCTATACTTATCTGGGTGGATACAGCAAGACAGGGACAGGGGGGGTGAAGTAGCTGCTAATGAATGAAAGTGTATAGATATAAATGAATATATAAAGCCAGCAAAACCTTGCTCAACATCATAAAAGATTTGAAAGGTATTTTGCAAACCATGGAAATAGGAATATGGAAATAAGCTGGAATATACTTCTAAGCGTTCCGTTTTGTACTGGATACAGTAAACTTTCCTTTTATATTATGTGCTGTTGTTACATTTTTTGCTAAAAGCAATTTCATTTTCAAAGAACCTTCTTCATCTGTCAAAAGTAAGGAAATGAGTCTATTCATTAAACTAGTCATTTCTGTTGTCACACAACATGCTTGTTATGGTTGAATGTTTCTGCAAGGCAATGGCACAATGCCCTTGATTCCAATCACTTGTTAAATGACTGTAGAATAGTGGGGAGCTCTCAGGTGCCCACTGACTGTGTTGGCTTGGAAGAAGGTGGCATTAATTACTCACAATGAATGTTACTTCTCCAGCCATCGCACAGGTGGAAGCAGAAAGCAGTTGTTTGAAAAGCAGCATGTCGCTACACGCATCACTTAACTTTCTTCTTCTTCATTATTCTGTTCCTGGCTTGCAGTTCATACAGAGATCCTGTGCCACGCATGTTAAATATATTCAGTTGGCTTTCTTAGTATCTGATATTTATAAATCACCAGCATTCTATTCAGCAATGCTCCGCTATTGGAAGGAAGTTTTTGAAGGCTTACTATCTGAATCAAGGTATGGAAAAATAAAAATGAAAGTGTGGGAACCACTACAGTCACTAAGAATAGAATCACAGCTTCATCAATATGCACTTATAAAATTACAAATTGCAGGTATATGTTTAAATAGGAAAACCTATGTAAAAAAAAAAAGTAAAAAAGCAGCCCTGGTTGTGATGCTCATCCTATATCTAGTGTTGTCCCCTGCAGACAGCACTGGTACTCTTTTGGCTTGAATGATGCCCAGTGTCATTTTTTAGCATCTCCTGCAAGCCCAGGGCTTCAAGGCATATTATTAAGGAGAATGCCATGTAATTACCATGAGCCACCTATCACCAGAGAAGGAAGCGAAGGAAGAGCACTCATCATATCTTGTAAAAGGGCTGTATGCAGGGATTTAAACAAAAAATGGTGTGGGTGTAGTTTCCATGTCATCCAGTAGATGGCAGTTTGTTAAGTTTTTAGCTGCATCTATGACTATACTCTATGTCTTCTTCCTGAATAAAGTTCCTGTTTCCTGTTTATAGTGAAGCAGCAGATTAACACATGTGGATTGTGCACAGCCTGTTCTGTAGGGTTATACAGTATCTCAGAGGAGTGAGTACACCCCTCACATTTTTGTAAATATTTTTATTATATCTTTTCATGTGACAACAGTGAAGAAATAACACTTTGCTACAATGTAAAGTAGTGTGTGTACAGCTTGTATAAAAGTGTAAATTTGCTTTCCCCTCAAAATAACTCAACACATAGCCATTAATGTCTAAACCGCTGGCAACAAAAGTGAGTACACCCCTAAGTGAAAATGTCCAAATTGGGCCCAAAGTGTCAATATTTTGTGTGGCCACCATTATTTTCCAGCACTGCCTTAACCCTCTTGGGCATGGAGTTCACCAGAGCTTCACAGGTTGCCACTGGAGTCCTCTTCCACTCCTCCATGATGACATCACGGAGCTGGTGGATGTTAGAGACCTTGCGCTCCTCCACCTTCTGTTTGAGGATGCTGCACAGATGCTAAATAGGGTTTAGGTGTGGAGACATACTTGGCCAGTCCATCACCTTTACCCTCAGCTTCTTTAGCAGGGCAGTGGTCATCTTGGAGGTGTGTTTGGGGTCGCTATCATGTTGGAATACTGCCCTGCTGTCCAGTCTCCGAAGGGAAGGAATCATGCTCTGCTTCAGTATGTTACAGTACATGTTGGCATTCATGGTTTCCTCAATGAACTGTAGCTCCCCAGTTCCGGCAGCACTCATGCAGCCCCAGACCATGACACTCCCACCACCATGCTTGACTGTAGGCAAGACACACTTGTCTTTGTACCCCTCACCTGGTTGCCGCCACAGACACTTGACACCATCTGAACCAAATAAGTTTATCTTGGTCTCATCAGACCACAGGACATGGTTCCAGTAATCCATGTTCTTAGTCTGCTTGTCTTCAGCAAACTGTTTGCGGGCTTTCTTGTGCATCATCTTTAGAAGAGGCTTCCTTCTGGGATGACAGCCATGCAGACCAATTTGATGCAATGTGCTGCATATGTTCTGAGAACTGACAGGCTGACCTACCACCCTTCAACCTCTGCAGCAATGCTGGCAGCACTCATACATTTATTTCCCAAATACAACCTCTGGATATGACGCTGAGCACGTGCACTCAACTTCTTTGGTCAACCATGGCGAGGCCTGTTCTGAGTGGAACCTGTCCTTTTTAGGTAGAATTAAAAAAAACTATTTTTTTTTTTCATTTAGTGACAGTGAGTTTAGGTAGGATTTAATTTTTTTTATTTAGTGACAGTGAGTTTAGGTAGGATTTACATTTTTTTATTTAGTGACTGTGTTTAGGTAGGACTAAAAAAACCCAACACATACTAATGTTTCTCTTGGCCCTACTATGGTTACAACCAAGAAATAACACATACATGTATATTATTGCTGCAAACAAGAGTAGGGGAGGTTTTTTTGTGTTTTTTTATGGTGGTTCATGGTATTGGCAAGAAATATACTGCAAATTTTTAGACAAAAAGGCTTTTTTTTCAGTATTTTGGGCATTTTCCTTTGATAATATAAAAAAAAAAAAAACAGGAAATATCCTTTACCATTCACCACCCAATGAAAGCTCAATTTATCCTGAAAAAAACCCCATAAAATTTTACTGGATACAATAAGGAGTTGTGATATGTAAAGTTTTACACATGCCAAAGTTTCAAGTATGCATTTAAGCATTAGGATTTATTTTACCGAGTTTTAAACAAATGTTACTGAGTTTTTTCTATCTTGTCCTCCCATTTCACATTCGGATTAGCAGTGAAAGAACTGGTCAGTGACACGTGTGTACTCATATAAATACATTCCATTGGCATTGCTAGTAAAAGAATGCTGTATGCGTGTTTCGAATGACAAACCAATAATTCACTGTAGCATAAAGTAATGATAAATTCAGAGATCCTAAAGCTTGCAGTTATTTACAGTATATACAGTACTAGTTTCTGCTTTGCTTTTATTGAGGTTGGGCATTATCAAACGTCCTTATCTGAGCCCTAGGTTAACTGTTGCAAAATTCAGATGCTACAAATGGTGTGGAGCTGTGGGAAGAACAAACAGAGCACGCTGTAGGGCATCCTTATTCATTACAGTGTGGCAGTTTTGTGTGTGTTTTCTGGCATCTTGCTATGCATACTAGCCTGTCACTGGTTTGCACAATCAATGACAGAATGACAGCTTCAGGACTAATGGTTATTAAAGCGGTAGAGAAAAAAAGCTGGTGCACGGTTACTATTCCCACGCATTCTCCAAATATTATTAAACACATGGTCGTTGTGAATATATGCTGATCTAAACATGGCTCATAATGCTCATTGTAAACCTAATTCAGATATTCAATTGTAGAGATAATATAAAGTCTTTGGCAGAGCAGGCTAGCAATTCTTCGAGGTATAAAAACGTCTAGAATATTAGTAAAGGATGCCACACAATCATAGTGAGAACTATGCTCTTAGGGATACTGAGATGTATGTCTGCAACTGGAACGTCATTACGCTTGTCAAAATTGTTACCCAGTGAGGGTCATACTTAAGCTTGCCAAGCACAATGCAGTTAATGCTGGGCCTAGGAGGAAAGCAACATCTGCTACCATTTGGCATGGCAGGCCACAGACAGAACACTCTGTTGTCCTTGACATCGGAGAATGATCCCATTGGCATCTTGCCCAAAACGTTTCTTTGACTATTAAAAAGAACACACAAAAATGGTGCCTTTCTCAGAGATAACGCCAGGAATGAAAGGTTGAATGTTAAGGAGACTGTCCACCAGGATTTGAAAACTTTACTTTACTTTGTGCAAATGAGAAAAGCTAGGCCTACTTTACTAAAGCTGCATGCTCAATTGCAGAACTGTCGCTTTCAAGCAGTCAGGCTTGGTTCACACCTATGCGTTTTTTAGTGCGTTTCTTCAAAACACACTACACTCTATTTAACATGGTTTCCTATGGGACTCGTTCACATCTATGCGTTTTCAGCCACTGCGTTTATGGAATAAGTTTATTGCATTTTCGGTACAAAAGACTGTAGCCTCCCTGGCGGTATTCCCAAGTGTAGCTCGGGGTAAAGTTTCAGTACCACAAGCGGAAACCCCGAGCTACACTCGGGCTTACCATGCGGCGATGCTCCAGGATCTGTTCTTCTGTTACCTTGTCCTGTGCTCCCGCGATGTCCCTCCTGCAGTGTCCCCTGTAATGTCCTCTGGCCGATGCCGGCATCTGTCTTCTGGGTTCTGTTCCCTGCGAGCGTCGGGACGTACGGGGGACGGAACGGCGGGAAATTTGAAAATGACAAAAAGTGACATTCACTAAATACACTAAAATCACATAGTAAAACATTACTGTATCAAAGCATTTCACATACATTTTGTCCCTAGTGCTTTGTCCTGTGCCCTGCCTGCATTTTTACTGTTCTTTCTGCCTGGAAACTGAGAAATGTCCATGGCATCCAAAAAAGCGTCCCTTTAGGTCAAAAGCGATTTTAGATCAGCTAGAGAACAGCGATAGTAAATCAGAACCATTTGCAGAATTGAGTGATAATGATTCGTGGGGAAATTCATCATCAGACACTGAAAACAATTTTGCGACTTTGCTCTCAGTGATGTGCGAACTTGGCGCTATATTTCAAATTTAAGTGTTTTTGGTTTGATTATATTATTGAATTAAATTTATTATATGATTATTTTTTATGATTATTTTTTTTCTATTATAATTTATGATTTCGTGTTTAAAATTGTAACATACCCGGGATGTTTACTAGACTCTTGCTCGGACAGATTTCAGTGAGTTATTCCTAAAAATTACAGGCCTACAATAAAAAAAAATACATATTTCCATGCAAAATAATTTACCGCTTTGAGCACAGAAATATGGACATAATCAGACTGCTAGGGAGGTTAATGGAACTACACCAAAAATACAAGTGTTGCGTTTTTTTATGCGTATTTGATGCATTTTGCGTTTTTTGGCCAATAGAAAAGTATTGAGCGTGAGTTTGATGTGCAACGCTACACTTTATGGCACTCAAATCGCAACAAAGGTCGCAAAGTAGTGCAGAAACATTTCAAAGTTGCTGTAACTTGGAAAAGGTCCCTGCACTACTTTGATGCTACTTTGATCCAACTTTGAGTGCCAGGCAGTGCAAAGTCACATAAAAGTCGCACTTAATACTTTCCTATTGGCCAAAAAACGCAAAATGCATCAGACGCAACACTTGCATTTTTAGTATAGTTCCATTAAAGTTTATTGTACTGAAAACGCAATTAAAAAAATCAAATACTTTTTTTTTTAACAGTTGCGTTTATTGAATCATACAAAAATATAAACACACCAAGGTACATGAGAACAATCAAGCATGTGGTATACAGTAGACATACAATACACATAAACTTCTATGCACTTAATACTTTCTTATTGCACAGAACGCATCAAAAACACATAATGCCCGTGCCATAAAAAATTCATCAATCGCAATACACAGGACTTTCTGAAAATAAGCTATGCTCATCTCCCTGGTCATCACTGCCTGCTTCCATCCGTACAACCACATGTTTCACAACAGCGGGCAAGAAGAGAGTGAAATTAAAACTGAAATGAAGAATTGACATACTTGATATTATTCCCAGCTATTGCAAATGAGACCTGCAAATATTCCGCATGCTACTCCAGGTGAGATTAGACTCAACACGTCATAATTACATTTTAGGTGCTGGCTCGGCTCAACTTGGCTTCACCAAAGCAATCAATTATGCCAGCAACAAAAACACAGCACATTGAGATGCAGTGTGATATTGCTCCTTTTTAAAATAGCCAGCAGGAAAAGGTTCTGTGTTTACGCGTTTTGCGGTAGGCACAGCGCTGTCTGTTAGAAAGCGATGTGCCTTCTGTGAAATGCATCAGACAAGAACTTGTTCCTGCTGGCTATTTTAATAAGAAAAATGTTGCTTTTTTTAGTTTCCTGTTGCTGGTATAACGGAAGGCTTGCAAATATTTTATCACAATCATTTATCCAAAAAATGTCAGCTTCTGCTATTATTATTAGTTTGAAGCAAAATGTGTTGGCTTTGTATTTAAAGAGCAAATAGCTATATTTTTCTACCCATGTGGATAAAAATATGAAGTGTGCAGATCAGGGGCGGACTGACCATTTGGGAACTTGGGCAATGCCCAAGGGCCCGGGGTCAGTAGAGGGCCCCATGAGATGCCCCTGTAACCTTTCATAGGCTTTTTTGGGTGTGGTTTGAGTGTGGGCGAGGACACAGGGGCCCCATAATCCCCTATTGCCCGGGGACCCCATAAGTTGTCAGTCCGCCCCTGGTGCAGATTCCAGGGCTGTTGACCTAATTCTGGCATCACGTCTATGTCACTGGCCTGACACAAACATGCTAGATAGGAGCTCAGACTTTTCAGGCTTCACTGATTGATTGTTCCAAGTCAGTTAGGTCTCATACAAACACTGGGGGAGATGTACTAAAACTGGTGCATTCAGAATCTGATGCAGCTGTACATGGTAGCCAATCAGATTCTAACCTTAGCTTGTTCAATTAAGCCATGGGTCTACAAACTTTTGAAACAAAGGGCCAGTTTTACTGCCCTTCAAACTTTAGCAGGACTGGATTGTGGCCAGTGGCTTTAGAAAATGCCCTGGAATTGGTCGAAGTAAATATTGCCATAGGCTTGGTTTTCAGCGGGAGTAAAAGATTACATAATTGGTGTAAGGAATAGTGCCCCATAATTGTTGTCAGTGGGATGAATAATGCCCCATAATTGTTGTCAGTGGGATGAATAATGCCCCATATTTGGTGTCAGTGGGATGAATAGTGGCCCATCTTTAGTGTCAGTGGGAGAAATAGTGCCTCATCACTGGTGTCAGTGGGTGGATTAGTTCCCTATAACTGGTGTCAGTGGGATGAATAGTGCCCCATCTTTAGTGTCAGTGGGAGGAATAGTGCCTCATCACTGGTGTCAGTGGGTGGATTAGATCCCTATAACTTGTGTCAGTGGGATGAATAGTGCCCCATCTTTTTGTCAGTGGGAACAATAGTGCCTCATCACTGGTGTCAGTGGGTGGATTAGATCCCTATAACTGGTGCCAGTAGTAATAATAGTGCCCCATCATTGGTGTCAGTGGGAGGAATAGTGCCCCATCATTGGCGTCAGTTGGAGGAATAGGGCCCCATCATTGGTGTCAGTGGGAAGTTTAGATCCCCATAACTGGTGCCAGTAGGAGTAATAGTGCCCATAACTGGTGTCAGTGGGATGACTAATGCCCCATATTGGTGGTGTCAGTGGGAAGAATAGTGCCACATCTTTAGTGTCAGTGGGAGGAATTGTGCCTCATCACTGGTGTCAGTGGGAGGATTAGATCCGTATAACTGGTGCCAGTAGGAGGAATAGTGCCCCATCATTGGTGTCAGTGGGATGAATAGTGCCCCATTAGTGGTGTCAGTTAGGAGGATTAAATCCCCATAACTGGTGCCAGTGGGAAGAATAGTACCCCATTGTTGGTGCCAGTAGTAGTAATAGTGCCCCATCATTGGTGTCAGTGGGAGGAATAGTGCCCCATCATTGACGTCAGTTGGAGGAATAGGGCCCATCATTGGTGTCAGTGGGAAGTTTAGATCCCCATAACTGGTGCCAGTAGGAGTAATAGTGCCCATAACTGGTGTCAGTGGGATGACTAATGCCCCATATTTGGTGTCAGTGGGAAGAATAGTGCCCCATCTTTAGTGTCAGTGGGAGGAATTGTGCCTCATCACTGGTGTCAGTGGGAGGATTAGATCCGTATAACTGGTGCCAGTAGGAGGAATAGTGCCCCATCATTGGTGTCAGTGGGATGAATAGTGCCCCATTATTGGTGTCAGTAGGAGGATTAAATCCCCATAACTGGTGCCAGTGGGAAGAATAGTACCCCATTGTTGGTGTCAGTGGTAGGAATAGTGCCTGTCTTTGGGATCAGTGGTAGGAATAGTGCCTCAAGGGCCGGAAAAAGGCTAGCAAAGGGCCACATCTGGCCCGCGGGCCACAGTTTGGAAACCCCTGAATTGAGCTTTGACAATAAAACCTGGAAGCTAATTGGGTCCTTTGCAGAAATGAGCCTGATTTTGCACTCTTAAACTTTAGTAACTCAACCCCACTCTTTATCTTGACATGAGAAAATCAGTGTTAAAACTCACCTAAGCTGCGCTTTTTTCAAACCAGTTTAGACGAGTTTTTAGCAGAGTTTGGTGCGTTAAGGTGCGTTTAGACATGTTTGCACACATTTAGCAGTGTTCAGCGTTTTGTGTAGTCAAAATTCACTATCCTGAACGGGATTTTAGGCATTCAGAAAATATCCTCTAAACTCCCATGCTACTAAACTGCTGTAAACGTCTGAGTGCATGGACACATAGGATAACATGGAGGGGAGTTCAGGGACAGAAAAAAAACCCAAAACCCACAAAAACATGAGTTTAGGAGCAGCAGTGTGCATGAGGCCTTATATGGTAGGTAGGAAAGTTAGGATCAGGATGACAGCCGTAGCGGTTTCATGTTTAACCACTTCAAGTCCGGACACTTTTACCCCCTTCCTTTCCAGGCCAATTTTCAGCTTTCAGTGCTATCACACTTTGAATGACAATTGCGCGGTTTTTTTTTTTTTTTTTTTTTTTTTTCTTTTTTTGTCATGCAACACTGTACCTATATGAATTTTGTAGCATTTTTTTGAGACAGATAAAACTTTATTTTGGTGGTATTTATTCACCACTGGGATTTTTTTTTTTTTTTTTTTTTTGCTATGTAAATGAAAAAGTCCACAAATTTGGAAAAAAAAATGTTTTCTTATAAAATGTTGCAAATAAATAATCTTTCTTTATAAATCTTGGCCAAAATGTATTCAGTTATCTTTTTAGTAAAAAAAAAAACAAATTAGTTTATAACCAAAAATTATAATTTAAAAAAAAATATTTTTACATTTTTATTTATTTTTTATATTCTTATATATATTTTTGTTTTTTTTATATACTATCACCCTAGAAGTACAGTGTCACCATAGTGACACTGTACTACCTGTGGGGGGTGATGAAGATTTTTTTTTTTTTTTTTTTTACGCTGATTGCTTTTATACCCATAAAGGCTGTAAAAGCAATCATTTCTCCTTCTCTCTGGCTGCATTCTTGCAGCCATTGAGAAATACTGTGAGAGCTGTGATTGGTCACAGCTTGTCACATGGTACAAGGCTGTTGTGAATAGCTTTGTACCATGTGACCTCTGTGATCATTCACAGATTTCACATGTAGTAAGCAATGATGTCAGAAGTGACATCTTGCTTACTACTCTTCATGTGATCACTGATTGGCCAATCAGTGATCACATGATCGGAACCTCAC